ACTTTCAGTTTTTCCCTGTCCTTTTCCAAAGCCAAAATTAAGGAATCTGGCAGAGCTATATTAATTTTGCATTCAGTCTGTCACTCTGTGATTTCTTAAATTGAAAAACATATCTGCATACATCATCCCATTTTCCTTGCCCCCTTAAAACAACATTAATTGTAAGAATGTATTATAGTTCAGAGTTCCATTTTTAGGCCATTTTTAGTCCATTTTTCCTAACCTTCCAAAGTATACAAAGGCCATCATTGGTTATAATATTTTGCCAATATTTTCTTATTTACCAAGCCCTCAGGAGACCCTCCAAGTTCTTTCCAGTGTGCCAAAATGCACCCAGAAGTATTCTTTCAAGGTCTCTTCACTCTGCTGATTTTCCATTATCAATCTCACATTCACACACACACATGCACACAAATGGGATTCCCCAGGCATACTCCACACAGTTACAACACTTGAGACAGAGATAGAGACTTCAATTCAACTAAACAACAGTTAATAACACAGTTATAACATCCTGTCACCAGTACCAAAATCACAAGACCAAAATCATTACTGTAACAAGCCACAAAATAAGGTGAATACCAGTAGAATCAAAAGCAATACTTCCTAACCCTTATAGCTCAGACCATATTGTAACATTAATAGGGGGGTTTCCTTGAACCCTTTATAGTTGACCAGCCTGTCAGTGTCCCAGGAAGGATGAGACCCTTGTGTCTGACCAGCCTATCTGTGTTCCACTGTGGGAAAATGTTCATTACTGAACAGCCCACTGTATCGGAGGGTGATTCTACTAACCTATTCAGGGACCCATGCTGACGGCATCACTGAATCAAATCCCTTATGGGCTGTTGATAGCACATTGGACCCAAAACCATTTCCACAAGACACCCCCTTGCTTCTTGTAGGACCTAAATCACAAGATGCCCCCTGCTTAGTTATAACAGTCTGTCACTTATACCAAAATCACAAGACCAAAATCCTTAATACAACAAGCCACAAAATAAATCAAATACCAACAAGATCCAAAACCTTTTCTGCAAGACACCAACTTTTTTCCTGCTCACCAACAGGGAACGGCTGTCTGGAAACATGATGTTCCAGGGCTGGGTTTAAACCACGACACCTTGTTGCAGTGATCATGAGATGGTCAAATTCGAAATCCTCAGGACAATGAGAACAGCATGCAGCAAGCTCACTGCCCTGGACTTCAAAAGAGCAGACTTTGCCCTCTTCAGGAACCTGCTCAGTAATGTTCAGTTGATACGCTGCACGGAAGGAATGCCATCCAGAGGGACCTTGACACGCTTGTGAGGTGGGCCAGTGCCAACCTAATGAAGTTTAACCATGACAAGTAAAAGGTCCTACACCTGGGTCATGGCAATCCCAGGCACAGTTACAGGGTGGGCAGAGAAGAGATTTAGAGTAGCCCTGAGGATAAGGACTTGGGGATGTTGGTCAATGAGGAATATGAGACGGCAGTTTGCACTCGCAGACCAGAAAGCCAACCATATCCCGGGCTGCATCAAAAGGAGCATGACCAGCAGGTCGAAGGAGGTGATCCTGCCCCTTTACTCTGCTCTCGTGAGACCTCACTTGGAGTACTGTGTGCAGTTCTGGTGTCCTCAACACAAAAAGGACATGGAACTGTTGGAAAAAGTCCAGAGGAGGGCCACGAGGAGGATCAGGGGAGTGGAGGACCTCCCATATGAAGACAGGCTAAGAAAGTTGGGGCTGTTCAGCCTGGAGAAGAGAAGGATGTGTGGAGACCTCATAGCAGCCTTCCAGTATCTGAAGGGGGCCTATAGGGATGCTGGGGATTGTCACTTCATTAGGGACTGTTGTGATAGGACAAGGGGTAATGGGTTCAAACTTAAACAGGGGAAGTTTAGGTTGGATATAAGGAATAAATTCTTTCCTGTGAGGGTGGTGAGGCACAGGAATGGGTTGCCCAAGGAAGTTGTGAATGATCCATTCCTGGCAGTGTTCAAAGCCAGGTTGGACAAAGTCTTGGGTGGCATGGTTTAGTGTGTTGTGTCCCTGCCCATGGCAGGGGGTTTGAACTAGGTGATCTTAAGGTCCTTTCCAACCCAAACTATTCTATGATTGTATGAACTCTGCAAGGTGATCCTGCAGAAAAAGATAAATTCTACACTGACCTGTGTCAACTCACTCAAAAGGTTCCTATAGATGATAAGATCATAATCTTTGGTGACTTCAATGCCCGAGTACGTAAGAACTTTGACACCTGGAAAGGAGTACTAGGCAAGCACTGTGTTGGTAGCTGCAATGATAACGGACGCCTCTTGCTGGAGTTTTGTGCAGAGCAGCAGCTTACCATCACCAATACTATTTCAGCAAAAAGACAGCCTGAAGACAACCTGGATACATCCTCAATCTAAACATTGTCACCTTATTGATTATGTCTTAGTGCGCCAGAGAAACGTTAGTGATGTCTGTCACACCCAAGTGATGCCTAGTGCAGAATGTCAATGTGTTGTGCATTGCAGACTTAACCTTCACTTTAAGCCCAGACCTAAGAGGGGCGGCATTCTGAGGAGAAAGCTCAAAGTTAAAAAACTTCAAATAGCTGCAGTGAGGGACAGCTTTCAGGCTAGCCTTCAAACTAGGCTTGAAGACCAGCTTAAAGATTCTTGTCCTGAAGCGCTTTGGAGCTATACTCTCAAGGTATTCATGTTTTGAATCTGTATATTAATAATGGCAATTCAAAATACAGTGTTATCTGTACAACTTCACAAAAATACAGGTGTACAGTCTGATTAGTTTAAAGAGATTCTGTACAATTTCAGGTAAACCAGAGCTAGTTCAGCCCAATTAAGTAAAAGGTTTTGTGGTAGTTTATTTTTTTTCCGAAGTGCATCACATTTTACACTGATAAATATGTCAAAATAAGATGTTCAGGTTCTTAGAGAGGTTAACAATGACTATTTGTCACCCTCATTCCCAATACAAGTCCTACCAAGTAATTTCCTTCAGATCTAGTTCAGTAACATCCAAATTCTCCAGATTCAGATATTTAGAGAACAATATCTCATGGAGAAGATGATAGCTATGTTCTCAGACCTTCAAATTGGTTATCAAAACAGCCATTCTCGAGTCACAGGCTGCTTCTCCAAAGACCACAGCTGTACAAATATTACAGATCCACTAACAGGAAGAAGAGAACTCATAGTGCATAGATATTTGGCAGTGACTTAAAAGACAGGTGGGCTCAAGAGATGGAAAATTTTATAAAACTATAAAAGGAAGATAATTTTTGGTAGAAAAGGCCTAATGGCTACTTGCACGTGGACAATCTAAGAGGCTGGCAGAGAGCTGCCTTATTACATTTATTTTTTAAGAGGTCAGCTTATACCTATTTCTTAATCTTTCAACTCCTTCTGTATTCATTAAAAAACCTCTTACAACTCTGAGCAGGGATAGCTGTAGTGAAGTATCAGTGCCTTTATTTAAATGTAAAAAATTATTTACAAATAGTATCTGCAGTTTAATTTTATTTACAGAATAAATTGCAGAAGTACAACACATTTAGTGCATATGCAGCTAATGATAAAAGATTTATATACTGCTTTGTAAGCTTCCCATACCTTTGTAAAATAAAGCCATCCAATTAAATTAATAAACAGTTACTTGCCTGTGTTCAACAATTACAAGAACTGGCAAATAAGGAGTTAAACTAGTGATATAGTAAATGTACAAAATTTCATCTTATTTGCTTACTAGCTCTAACACATAGGAACTTTTCTACATATTCAAATTAATAGAATAACTCTTTAATAAGGCATATTCCATGCACACCATTAGAAAAAGGCAAACAAAAAGAGTTATTGAGCATGACATCAGTGTGCATGTTTCAACACTGTGCAGATCATATTCACCAAATCTTCATTAAGTTACAATCTTTTATCTATTTTCAGGCACCTATCATACTATATCAAATAAGACTTTCAGTTTCCTTTTGGAAAAAAGAAATAATTGGAAACTTTTTTATTGAGATACATAGGTCAGTGAAACACCCAGCAATCTGTGAAGTTTCCAACTATAGGACATGTATACAAGACCTCAAAGTCAGTACCTGTCTGCCAGAGTCCGCTCTTAATGAGCATCTCCAAAATCAAAGGCAGGCAAATATCTGACATTTAAGTTCTCACAGCAACTAGAGGGAACTTTCCGATAAGACTATCATTGTTACTTTGATGGTCTTTTGATCAAGAGGCAAGTATCGGTGCAACTCATTTTCTATACAAAATTCATAGCATGGCTTTATTAAGGTGAGGAAAACACATGCAGGATCTGAAAACAATGTACTCATTCAAGGCTGGGAATGTTTTATGCAGTCCAAATTACTTCAATAAACATCATAGTGTATCTTCTCACAGCTTTGAGAAAGCCCCAGATGTCACGCAGGACAGTCCACATATGCCATGAACAGACAGTATACTGTATATATACTGGTATATATATAACAGACTTAGAGCTTTCAGGCACTCCTGCCCTCTCATACAGAATCTTCCTAGAAATTTCTAGATCATATTTAATAACAAAAATTCTGTACCACATATTACATAACTAAAAAATACAATATAAATATAAAGATATCTGGAAAAAAAATAAAGCTTTTCACACTATTACTCCTTCAGAGCCAAAGATCTTCATAAGAGTAAGACAATAGAAAAGGCAAAGTCATAACAATATTGACAGCCCTTAGATATTAACTGACATTTTATGTAACAAGATGATTCATTATAGAAACAAGTAGAAATGAACTATGAACATGCAAAGCAAAACAAAACCTGCCAATAGAACAGAATCATAGAACAGTTAGGGTTGGAAAGGACCTTAATATCATCAAGTTCCAACCCCCCTGCCATGAACAGGGACACCTCACACTAAACCATGTCACTCAAGTCTCTGTCCAACCTGGCCTTGAACACTGCCAGGGATGGAGCATTCACCACTTCCTTGGGCAACCCACTCCAGTGCCTCACCACCCTCACAGTAAGTAACTTCTTCCTTATATCTAATCTAACTTCCCCTGTTTAAGATTTAACCCATTACCCCTTGTCCTATCACTACAGTCCCTAATGAAGAGTCCATCCCCAGCATCCTTATAGGCCCCCTTCAGATACTGGAAGGCTGCTATGAGGTCTCCACACATCCTTCTCTTCTCCAGGCTGAACAGCCCCAACTTTCTCAGCCTGTCTTCATATGGGAGGTGCTCCAGCCCCCTTATTATCCTCATGGCCTCCTCTGGACTTGCTCCAACAGTTCCATGTCCTTTTTCTGTTGAGGACACCAGAACTGTACACAATACTCCAAGTGAGGTCTCACGAGAGCAGAGTAGAGGGGCAGGATCACCACCTTTGACCTGCTGGCCACTCTTCTTTTGATACAGCCTAGTAAGTCACCTAGGCTTTACTGAACTGCCTCCCCCCCCAAATACCACACAGACTTTTCTGCATATAAAGCACATACAGTATGCTGTATGCGCATTTGTCTTTTGTGCTTTTTAGACATACAAAATACCTGCACAACTATCTTAGGAACATTGATAGTGAAATTCTGCAAGTTGTTTAAAATTAAAGCAGTAACCAACATTGGTGATTCAAAGTTGTACACATTCTTCCTCTTCTATAGCAAGCAAATAAAATAGCCATTTACATGTTATCAATGCATCTATTTATAATTACTGATTTTTCAAGAAAATTCAGGAGAGAGCTAGTGTTAAATATTCAGCCTTGTGGTGTGTCCTGGGTTTAGCAGCAGCAGTCATTTTTTCTCCTTCTTGGTAGCTGGTGCAGTGCTGTGTTTTGACTTTCAGGCTGGGAACAAAGCTGATAAAAATGATGTCTTGGTTTGGCCAAGGACTTTGTGAGCCTCATGCTCTGCCAGGGAGGAGGGGAAGCTAGGAGGAAGCAGAGACAGGACACCTGACCCAAACTGACCAAAGAGGTATTCCATACCACAGCACGTCATGCTGAGGGGGGAACTGGGAATTACCCGGAAGGGCAGAGGGGACTGCAGGGTTGGAGGAGGTATGGGTGGGTGCTTGGTTGGGCTGGGGGGGTGAGTTATCGGTCGGCTGGTGATGAGGTCTTGTATTCTCTTCCCTTGTTATTTCCTTTATCATTACTATTATTGGTGGTAGCAGTAGTGATTTGTGTTATACCTTAATTACTAAACTGTTCTTATCTCAACCCGTGGTAGTTGCATTTCTTTTTGATTCTCTTCTCCATTCCCCCAGGAGTAGGGGGAGGGCAAGAAGTGGGGGAGTGGGTAACAAGCTGTCTGGCTGGGTTTAAACCACGACATGGTGTCAAAACACTACTTCAGTATACAAAGCCTAGAACATCAGCCATAAAAAGATTGTAGATCCTTCATTCCAGCATGGAGTGCTCTATTCATGGTCATTTCAACATGGAATGCTCACCCAGTCTTGTTCTGATCACTGCAGGTAAGCAAAGACAAAATACAGTACTGAAAACTTTTAACACTAATAGGAAAAGAACTTGTTAAACCCCTAAATAGCATTAGCACTGCTATTAACAAGTCTTTACTGTTGGCTCAAGACAGCCATGTTTTAAATAGTTAACCTACACTAGTTCTCTAACAATATTGAATTAAAAATGCTAACTGTTACAGAAAGATCAAATTACTAAGACTTTTGGAGTTGGACATAATAAATAGAACCTGAAAATAGAGGTAGCCTATGTCCATGCATAGAAAAGTTATAAAAATGTTTTCAGATCATGCTCTCATAGTCAAGTTACCAAATGCTACTTTGTAGCTGGAATTAAGTGGTTTGACACTAGTTATAGATAATGAAGTACATGGCAAGTCTATACTAACAACATTTAAGCAAAGCCTTACTTTGCAAAAAGGCTTACATCTGACATATTCAGACATCTCCAAAATTGACTGAGAAATTATTTTATGTCACATCATCATCATTTAAACATTAGAATAATTTTAGATTAGTTCAATAAACTATACCATTAATATATATATCCATTAACTTCAGAAAGAATATGTAAATCCCTTTTCTTAGGCTGATCAGAAAGACTAAAATATTAAGTCTCAGTCTTTTAAATACTCTAATACTTGACACTGGCTTGTCAGAAAAGTTCCATTAATAAAAATCCTGTATTTAAACTATTGTGTCAATATAAAATAATACTTTTACCTTTATAAGAGTTTATCAATCAGATATACAATTATAAGTAGAATTTAAGATATCAATATCTCATGAGTCTCCAGAGAAATTTCAGTGTATATTCTTTTCAGAAAAAGTATAAAATGCCTACAATACCTGAGAAAAAAATACTTCATCTTTTTATACTTCTACATGAATTAAGCATGCATGCAAAACCAACTAGTAAAAGTCTACAAAAACTAATGCTTGACAACTTGTTCAGCCCTTATTTTTCATGCTACTAATAAACAAATTACATGTGTCCTGGTTTCAGCTGGGATAGAGTTAATTTTCTTCCTAGTAGCTGGTAGAGTGCTGTGTTTTGGATTTAATGTGAGACTAATCCTGACTGATAGCACACTGATGTTTTAGCAGTTGCTAAGCAGTGCTTGCCATAAGTAAAGGACTTTTTAGTCTCTCATGATCGGCCAGTGATGAGGGGCACAAGAAGCTGGGAGGGAGCAAAGACAGGACACCTGACCCAAACTAGCCAAAGGGGTATTCCATACCACAGCATGTTATTCCTAGTATATCAACTGGGGGCTCTTTTGTGGACACCCCCTTGTCGTGGGGAAAGAGCTTGAGTGCCCTTGTGAGGTTGAGAGCTATGCTGGTGGTGGCACATGCCTCCAGTAGGGTCTCCCATGCCAGACAGGTCTCAACTAAATGGTCAGACAAAGTGTGTCCATGGGCAGGATGGGCTCACCAGCCTTCAGGCAACCATCCTAGGAGAAGGACAACACTAATGTCAAACCTGGGCAGATGGAGCTTGTATAGCCCTGTAAGGCCATCCATCTAAGAGAAGGACACTCTAATCAAACCTACGACCTGAGGACTTTGTTGTCACCATCCAAGCTCGCTAGGCTCTGGCAGATAAACCTCAGGTGTAAAGGATGGGGCCAGTTCTGCGCACACTGTGCCTCACCTAAAAGGTCAACTGTGCAAGTCTGAAGGGTTTACCCGCACTCGCAAAGCCCTGTAGCGACAGGCAAGGGACAAAACAGCAGGTGATAAGGTGCACTGGAAGTCGCAGACTCAACCCTGCATGCAGGCGGTTCAGGAAATTGGTCGCTCAAGACTGACCCAGGAGACGACAGTCTGGGTTGGCAACATCCTGAATGACCAAACAGCCTTTCTTTTGAAGGAGAGCACTGCTTGCTCCATATGGAGAGAGGCCTAGAAAAGGTGGCCTAACCAAAGCTCATCTCCCCCTCCACCTGGTTGACTAGCCACGGCCAACGGGCATCTTCTGTTGCAGTCGATTAAAGACAAAGAGACAAAGGCATACAGCTGCCTCCAAAGGTGAGTCCAGATTGACACTCGCAAGTTGGAACATCAAAACCATGCTTGATACAGAGAACAGCAGGCGTCCTGAGCGCTGTTCTGTGCTAATTGCTCACGAATTGTCACTACTGAACATCGATATTGCTGCTCTCAGTGAAGTTTGCCTTCATGAGGAAGGTAGACTTGATGAACATGGTGCCGGCTATACACTCTACTGGGTCAAGCAAATCCAAAACCGAAAGTCATCTTTCTGGAGCTGGTTTCATGATTAAAAACTCTATCATCTCTAAACTTGAAAATTTGCCGATAGGTCATTCCGATCGTATTATCTACCTATGTCTTCCACTACACAACAAGCAACATGTTCTTTTCAGCATATATAGAATCATAGAATCACAGAATAGTCAGGGTTGGAAAGGACCTTAAGATCATCTAGTTCCAACCCCCCTGTCATGGGCAGGGACACCTCGCTCTAAACCATATTACGCAATGCCTCATCCAACCTGGCCTTGAACACTGCCAGGGATGGAACATTCACAACCTCCATGGGCAACCTATTCCAGTGCCTCACCACCCTAACAGGAAAGAATTTCCTCCTTATATCCAATCTAAACTTCCCCTGTTTAAGATTTAACCCATTACCCCTTGTCGTATCACTACAGTCCCTAATGAAGAGTCCATCCCCAGCATCCTTATATGCCCCCTTCAGATACTGGAAGGCTGCTATGAGGTCTCCACACAGCCTTCTCTTCTCCAGACTGAACAGCCCCAATTTTCTCAGTCGATCTTCATATGGGAGGTGCTCCAGTCCCCTGATCATTCTCGTGGCCCTCCTCTGGACTTGTTCCAACAGATCCATGTCCTTTTTATGCTGAGGACACCAGAACTGTACACAGTACTCCAAGTGAGGTGTCACGAGAGCAGAATACAGGGGCAGGATCACCTCCTTCAACCTGCTGGTCACACTCCTTTTGATGCAGCCCAGGATACGGTTGGCTTTCTGGGCTGCAAGCGCACACTGCTGGCTCATGTTCATTTTCTCATCAACCAGCACCCCCAAGTCCTTCTCCGCAGGACTGCTCTGAATCTCTTCTCCGCCCAGCCTGTAGCTGTGTCTGGGATTTCTCTGACCCAGGTGTAGGACCTTGCACTTGGAATGGTTAAACTTCGTGAGGTTGGAATCAGCCCACCTCACAAGCGTGTCAAGGTCCCTCTGGATGGCATTCCTTCCCTCCAGCGTATCAACCGAACCACACAGCTTGGTGTCATAAGCAAACTTGCTGAGGGTGCACTCAATCCCACTGTCCATCTCACCAACAAAGGTGTTAAACAAGACCGGTCCCAACACCGATCCCTGAGGGACACCACTCGTTACTGCTCTCCAGCCGGACAGTGAGCCATTGACCACAACTCTTTGTGTGCGGCCCTCCAGCCAGTTATTTATGCACTGAGTGGTCCATTCATCAAATTAATGTCTCTCCAATTTAGAGACAAGAATGTCGTGTGGGACAGTGTCTAACGCTTTACACAAATCCAGGTAGATGACATCAACTGCTTTACCGCTGTCCATCAGTTCTGTAGCCCCATCATAGAAGGCCACCAAATTGCTCCAACTCTGCAAGCTGACCCTGAAGAAAAAGAAAAATTCTACTCCGACCTGCGTCACCTGAGTCAAAAGGTTCCTATAGAAGATAAGATCATAATCCTTGGTGAATTCAACGCCTGAGTAGGTAAGAACTTTGAAGCCTGGAAAGGAGTAGTAGGCAAGCACGGTGTTGGTAGCTGCAATGATTACGGTCTCCTCTTACTAGAATTTTGTGCAGAGCAGCAGCTTACCATCACTAACACTATTTTCCAGCAGAAAGACAGCTGGAAGACAACCTGGATGCATCCTTGATATAAACATTGGCATCTTACTGATTATGTCTTAGTGCGCCAGAGAAATATTCGTGATGTCTGTCACACCCGAGTGATGCCTAGTGCAGAATGTCAAACAGATCACCGCCTTGTGCGTTGCAAACTTAATTTCCACTTCAAGCCCAAACCTAAGAGGGGCAGCATTCCGGGGAGGAGGCTCAATGTTAATAATTTCCAAATAGCTGCAATGAGGGACAGCTTTCAGGCTAGCCTTCAAACTAGACTTGAAGACCAGCTTACAGATTCTTCTCCTGAAGCGCTTTCGCAACACATTAAAAATAGCATCCTGCAGACCTCCGTAGAATCAATTGGGTTCTCCTTAAAGAAAAACAAAGACTGGTTTGACGACAGCACCCAGGAGGTCCAGGAATTGCTGACAAAGAAGAGATCTGCTCATCAAGCACAACTCGCTCAGCCACTTTGCCATGTAAGAAAAGCAGTCTTTCGTCTTGCATGTAGCAAACTGCAACAGAAACTTAGAGATATCCTGAACAAGTGGTGGCTCAACCTAGCAGAAAAGACTCAATTATGTGCAGATCTGGGTGACCACAGTGGATTATATGAGGCTCTGAAGGCAGTGTATGGACCAACATTTCAGGTTCAAAGCCCCTTACTTAGTGCAGATGGCCAAACGCTTACAGATAGAAGATCCATCCTGAATCGTTGGTCTGAATATTTTCAAACACTCTTTAGTGCTAACCATGTAGTCCAAGGCAAAGGAATCCAGCACATTCTACAACATTCGGTGAAAAATGAATTGGATTTAGCCCCTACCATGGAAGAGACTTTTAAGGCTATACAGCAGGTGAAAACTGGCAAGGCAGCTGGGATTCACGGAGTCCCACCTGAAATCTGTCGTGGTTTAAACCCAGCCAGACAGCTTTTAACTCACTCCCCTCCCCTTCTTTCGATCCCCTATTCCCGGATGGACGGAGAGGAGAATCGAAAAGGATGCAAGTCCCACAGGTTGAGATAAGAACAGTTTAGAAACTAAGGTATAACATAAATCACTACTGCTACCACCAATAATAATAATGATAAAGGATATAACAAGG